TCTCTCTTCTCTCTCTCTCTTCTCTCGCTCTCTTCTCTCTCTCTCTCTCTCTCTCTCTCTTCCTTCTCTCTCCTTCTCTTTAGATTTTCTCTCCTCATGTTCATTCTTTTCACACCTTTCTCCTCTCTCTCCTCTTCCTCTCTTCACTCTTTCTCCCTTCCCTTCCCTGCTCCTCTCTCCTCTCATCTCTCCTCTCTTCGCACTCTTCACTCTCCTCTCTCCTCCTCTCTCCTCTTCTCAGTGATTGACAACAACACACCCAAAGGTATCTATCCCTCCTGCTTAATACATAAATCCACACTACATTGGCTATGTAAACTCCATCAACTCTGATCTTTTCTACAATACCTTTCCATACTGGAAAACAAGTTTTCACTGGCTTCGACTGCTGTATCTGACAATAGCGACATTAAACCAGCTTGCACTTGCCTCTGCTGGAAACATGGTCCTGTCCTCTTGTCTCTGCTACAGCTTTAGGTTTACCTAACAGGATGTTTGTACTCGGTGCACTTCTCTAGCATCAGCATTACTGACAGCACGCACCTCTGACTTTCCTCCTCTCTCTTTGTCGACTTTTTTTTTTTTTTTTTTTTTCCAGTGTCGCGCTCCAAACGGCAGCCCGGTAAGCCCGCGTCCCCCCTCCTCCTGCCCTTGCGCCCGCCGGCATTCCTCCTCCCAGTTGGATTACCCTGCTACCTTGCTCTAACACACTCACATACACATCAATAGCACAAAACACACAAGCGCACACAAACCGACCAACGGCTGCCTCGTTCGCTTGTAGCTCACGACCACGTCACTGCCATCCATTTACCGCCCTTCCTCCCTCTAGGCAGCAGAGCCAGTGCCGGCATTTGCAGTCGGATCCCCCCTCTTCCCTGATACTGTTACCACCGGCCCTGCATCGAGCGAGTGCCCGTGGTTTTGGTATTCTTTTCCTCTTCTTGGCTTTTTTTTTTCTCAGCTTCCTTCCCTTCTTCACCATGATCAAGTTGTTTTCCCTCAAGCAACAGAAGCAAGAGGCCGAGGCTGCCGGTCAAGCCAGGTGTGTGTTTGTCTGCGCCGCCTTTGACCTTTTCAACGTTCTTCTCCCCATTTAACGCTAATTCGCCTCACTACGTGGCCTTTGACACATTGTTTGCTTCAGCGGCTCCCGTACCTCCGCTGCCCAGCTCCGAGCCACCAAAGGTTGGCCTTTCGCTATGCCAGCTCCCGTGCTTGCATGGCTCACCGCTCCAGCCACAACGTCGGGGATGTTGTCCCTTTCTTTTTTTTTTTTTTTGTTTTCGCCCGCACGAGAGTTGACCTTGGCATACCTCGGCTGCCTTGTCCTTCCTTTCTTAGACCACAATGAGCTGCAAGTGCCGTCGTCGTGCAAGCTGGAATTTGACGACCCAGATGACCTCATGAACTTTCGCCTCATCCTCCGCCCCACCGAAGTCAGTGTGCCTGCTCCACCCTTCCAGACTCTCTCGCCAACCTCCTACCTCCCTCCCCGCATTCTCGCCACCCCTCTCTCATGCATCATTCACTGCATCACGTCAGGGTTTTTACCGTGGGGGCCGTTTCCAATTCACCTTCAACGTCGGCCGCAACTACCCGCACGAACCTCCCAAAGTTCACTGTGACACCAAGGTCTGCTCCACCCCCAGCCCGTCACACCTCTGCCCTAACTGACCCCTCACCGACCCCACCACTCCCCTCACAACACCTCGTTTGCATAGATCTACCACCCGAACATTGATCTCGAGGGGGCCATTTGCCTGAACATTCTGCGTGAGGACTGGAAGCCCGTCCTCAACCTGCAGTCAGTCATCTACGGCCTCATGTTTCTCTTCCTCGAGCCCAATGACAGCGACCCCCTGAACAAGGATGCTGCGCAAGTCATGCACTCTGATCGCTCCCAGTTTGAAAGAGTGCGTACCCTTACTGGCTCCCACGCCCGTTGATTTCACTCGACAGTTGCCCGCCTCGCATCTTTGTGACTTGCTCATCGCTTCACCTTTGCTCTCTAGAATGTTCGCCGTGCCATGCAGGGCGGAAGCATTGGTGGCGAAACGTTCGAATACTGCATGGACAAGTAGATTGACCGTTCCCTGCTTGGAGACGTCGTTGCTGACAGTTTCCGCTCGTTTGTTTTAAGTCTTTTACTCGTCATGAGATAGTCACGCGCTAGGCGCGTCGCTGCCCCAAGTGTCATCCAGCCAACCAACACTCGGTCACAAATGAAAAAGGTGCCTGCCGCTCTGCCAACTTTCATATACAATTCTTGCGTAAACTCATGGCACTCTCGCCAAGCAAAGTCAAACCGGCGTCCACCCGAACCACCCAGGCACGTAAGCCAGGTTAAAACAAACAACCCACGCCCCAGCAATTTGCAACAAAATAATTACGAGACAACCGCAAAGAGGAAGAAAACAAACAAGAGGCAAAACCCTCTCAAAGGCAAGCTAACATGTTACGGCCCCAACAACTTGGCGAGTGGTTGAGCGTCATGTGGCCGGAGATGCTGGCCAGGCCCGCGGATCATTGAGCTGATATAGCATTTGTGACAACGGCATCACATCCTTCATCGGCAAACCTAGTCCTTTGAGCTGCTGCAAGCTTGCATCCATCAGCCAAGTCGCACCCTTGCCGCTCAAGGTTTCAACGCTGGACGCCTCCAACCGACAGGGCAAGGCTAAATACAAAAACATCAAGACGTCGATGAGCTTCGACCCGCTCCTTGACCAGAATTTTACCGCAAACAGGATTGAAAGGCAACAGTGCAATCCTTCTCGGCATAATTTTGTCAAATTGATGGCCTATATAGATTGTATCGTGTGTTTGTACCTTGTAGCCACTGCCGCAGCTGAGCCGTGTTCCAAGCGCGTGGTCCTAGTGCGTCCGCATCTGTGCTGCTCTCTCCCGAAGGCACGCCATTGTCCGCATTGTCTTGGAGAGAGAAGACGCTGCTAATGGACGCATCGAGCGACGAGCTGCGTTGACGATCGGCAGCTGACACCGTCTCAGACGGAACAACGTCCTGCCAACGCCTGCACCATGGAGCGGTGAGCGCTTCTTGCAAAATCCGGGCGACGAGCTTTGCATAGGTCTTACGTGATGCACGTGGCCATGAGACGCTTGATGGCGGGTTCATCGTCAATCATGGCTTGGGTTGTTCGGCCATCTTCGCCAGCCTAAACGTCGGCAATGACGCAATCACACTTGCCATGAGTCGTTGACAAAAGGCGGGCCGACCACACGACAAAGTGGGTGAAGACGAAGCGGGGCGGTTGCTCTCAAACCTGCTGCGCCGAAAGTCGAATCAAAGTGGGACCAAACACCACTCCCAGGTTGTTGGGATCCATCTTATTGATGTTACTATGGTTTGCCACCTACCATGACCATTGGATCATACACATGTCTCAGCTTGGCCGAGGGGCATGGGTCCAAAACGGCTTGTTTGCGAGCGACAAATTGATCGATTGCACCATTCGCACCTCGTGAAGAAAGGGTAGCAGCACTTGCAGAACGGCCTTGTGGCTTGCGGGCAAATAGTTCAGAACGATTTCTCGGAGCTGGGCCATTTGCACCTCCACCTTTGACACCTTGGCCACCTACAGATACCACAGGACTTGATGAGCTTGCCACGCGTCTTGCAAAGGGCAGCGTCAAGAAAGGTTGGAAGAAGTACTGACGTCCATGATTGTCGAGTACATGCGTTGTGGGAAAACGGGGTCTGGCAAGGAGCGAAGATATTGCTTCAGCAGCGTGGCCACAGCTTCACATGAAAAGGCGTCCTTCTCGGCATCTGTCCAAGCCGCCAATGACCGTGATCAGAACATCGCCTGCGAGAAGTCTGACCGTCCTGAAAGCGTTGAAAAAAAGGCATCCAATGCCAACATCACCTTTGAGGGGATCATTTCCAGCTTCATACGCTCGCTGCAAGTCCTCGACGTCCTGTTTCCGTCCCGAGACCCGAAAAAGACCTGGCGAGTACACCCGCTTGAGACACACGAAACATGTAGAAGCCAAAGGAACCGAAGCAACCAAGAAATCAAAGAGAATGCGCGCGTGTGTGTGTGGGGGGGGGGGGGGGTTCAGTCACCACGCACCTTCCTCCTGTACACCATGGCGCTGGAGGAAATGGATGGAGCTCTCAATCACAGCAGGAATCTTGCTGGGTCGCGGACGAGCTGCAATGACGAGCTCGGTTCCAAACCGAAAAGGACTCTCGTCGTACTGGAAACCAGACAGGACGGATGCAAGATGAGGTCCCAGGAGGTTCTGCACACGCTGCTGGTTGGAATGCATCGACAAACCTGCAAGGAAGTCTTGGGCAAGACGCCGATGGTTCCATCACTGTGGCGAACAAGCCAGCAATCACTACCAAAAACGCGGACATGGGTGCCAACATGAGCAAGAAAAGCTTGCGTGAATGTACCCAATAGCGCTGACACATCAACTGGACTCTGCTTGTGGAACGCAAACGGATTTTTCAGAGGGAGGTTCGCCTTACTCGGGAAGCCCGGGATCGGCCCGCTCGAGCACCTCCACCTTTTCACCACGGCTGACAGCAAGCATCCCTGGACCGTTGAGAACAAACAAAATGAGGCGCAAAAAATGATGGAATGGAGGCTGAATACCTTCCTTTGACTATGGACATGCGCTGACCTTCGGGTCGACGGCGCGGAGATGTGCGCAGAACGGTGGCTGCGCCGAGGGAGTGACTACGAGCCCGCTGTTTGATTTCAGCCAGATTCGCCGATCCCAATATCATACTGGTGGGTCGGCTTTTGCGACTGAGGCGAAAGCCTATGATGCCCGCAAACCAATGGGCGAGGGATAAGTTGCGGCCTCGGGTACGTTCGGAAGCCCGGAGCGCGCGGAATTGTCATAAGAAGGGACGCACGGCGAGATATGGAAGGGGAGGCCGTGGACGCAGGGGACACCTGTGGTGAAAACCGCATTGGGGGCCATGCAGTAAGCAATGGCAAAGGAGGCGGGAGGAGGGTGGCGGAAGGAGGGTGGCGGGAGGAGGGTGGCGGGAGGAGGATAAGCTGAATTCAGCCACTGGGAGCATTGAATTGAAGTATGCATGCGCTTACCGAACTCGCGTCATCGGGCAAGGAGACTCCTGAAGGAACAGGTTTGGTCACGCCATTCAGGTCGTCGGCAGCCACCTGAGGACAATGTCATGCATGAGATCAAGCCCGCGTCATGTCACAAACAGGGTGGCGGACTGACCTCAAGAGCTGTCTTGTCCATCATGCGCTGGAGATCGTCATGGGTGAGATTGTAGTGCTGCAGCACCATGTCAGTGCATCGGACAAAACCGACCTCGCCCAGGTGATCCCGGGCGATCCAGCAGCCGCGAGGTCCCGCCATTTCTAGCACCTCGAGCTCACGGCCATTGCGGAGTGCCAAATAGCCCACTATGACAGGCGCACATGATGCCGAAAAAAAA